AGATTAGGATAAATTTTCCCCATTAGTCGCTCAATTCCCAGTGAACAGCATTTCGTTACAGTTTTATCGCTATCATCTTTCCTTTGTCCCCAGAATTTAAAATTCTGCGAAATTTTCTTTAAAAAAAAACTGGATGTTTTGCATTGCATTATGTTGTTCTCTAGGGAATTCAGACAGGGACCAAACATACATCCAAAATATAGATGGGGTTTTCACTCAGGGAAGTTGGACTCACATCTCACATGAAACTCACCCATGCAGTCACTTCCTCGAATAACTGTACCTGTAAATAAAGTTCCGTTGTGATGTTTTTTCTTAGAAGTGCGGCGATCGACCATAGGGTTGAAAAGGGGCCTGCAAAAAACAAATCCTGTCATCAATATTTTTGACTGCTTGCAGAAGTGACTGGTGCTAAGAAAAAAAAAATAGTCAATCAGCCTGTCAAGATGATGAGCCGGGATGGTAGAGCAAGCTACTCCACAGGCTCGGACGGCACCAAGAACATCCTGACGCTGAAGCCATCTCGCGGCAAGTACGTGAAGCTGACTGTGGAAACAACGCCACCTCTGGAGAACTCCTGCGACCGGGCCCGCAACTCGGTCAGCGGGCCCAGTGCCGAGCTGATGAGCGAAGAAGACATGGCCCTCATGTGGAAGAGTTTCGGGGCCCGGCGCAGGTCCTCTGCCATGCAGCAGAACCAACTGGCGGTGCCTGAGAATTACCGGAAGTTGTCGTGCTCTGACGATGACGTGGAACGCATGGTGGCTGGCATGAATGTCAACCCGATACTCGATCGCATGGGCAACGTGACCCACAACTCCAGCCGCAATCCCAGCGTGAGTGCGCAAGGAGCAGCTACTTGATGGTCCCGCCTCTGCGTGATGATGGTGCTTGATGCTACCGCAGTCGTGTGATGGCGCCTTTGTATTTGTATACTCGCAACTGTACGGCGACACGTCATCATCATGGTCATCCTCAAGTTCTGCTTGATTTGTTCACTGCTATCCATGTCTTATATTTATGTCTAACAAGGGGCCCCTCGTTCTTCTTTTTTGATTCGCGTCCAACAAAGACGCTGTGCATTATTGCTTATAGGGCTTTTCAACCGGCGCTGGATTGTCCCAGAGTTGATGGCAATCTTGCAAGCCACTTTGCCAGCGACTCTGGGACATATAAAATCATATTAATTGCCAAATTTTCTACAGTATATTATAGAGAAAACTTGATCTGAAAAAAATGTGTGATTCAGAGCTTGGGAAGTCAATCAGATCTAATGCAGTACCTTTATCAAAAACTCTGCTGGCACTTTTTAATGTGGTAAAATTCACAGGGAAGTTGAAAATATGCTGTAGCCTTGAAATTCTCAATTAAAGTTTTCTATATATTTTTTTACAATTACATTGGGCAGGGCATCCAATTAATGATAAAATCCAACTTTCCTATGCTGAGTATGGTTAAATTTCATCTGAGTTTTCTGGCTGCAGATTTCATAGCAGTGAGACAAGCAGGATTTACTGAACTCATCCTGGTAGATTCTTTTATTAACCCCTTCTCGCTTCAGTGGAATGGAATTATTCGTGCTGTAGCACAATTTTGGCATCAAAGGTTGGGCAATATGCAAGTTCAAGCCCAATACTTGCCAGAGTGTGAATACAACTAGTAAATTTGCACTGACTTGTGTGCGTAACTACTTTTGGTGAATGATCATAACATGCTCTCTAGCCCACATGAACCCGGAAATAAATACAGATTCGGCTGCAAAACAGCTGAACATTCATCACTACTCCTGGTAATATTCATTTAGCACAGGACAAGCAATGCGATTGTTACTTGAGCGTTGTGAATGGATGATGCTGAAGACTTTTGATTTATGATTGGGAAATCATACCACCGAACACAAAGACAAAGGATGTCAGTTCTTCAAAATCTCTCAATGATATGAATGGATAAAGATTTGCATAACAGAACAAATAAGATGTGCCTCAAGTAAGGCACTTCTCATTCCATTTTTACCCCAAGAAGCTGATAAAAGAAAAGATTGATGCATGTAATTTTCTCCATGCTTTCTTCACATGAATAAATGTGAGATCTCTTTATATCTGCGTCTTGCAGCTTGTTTCTTGTACAGTACTGTACTGTACTGCCTTTTTCTCAGAAGCCCACTTTTCCACTGCAGCCTGGATCTTTTGTTCTTATTGTTCGTGGAACTGATCCCGCAAATTATGATCAACAGCAACTTTTGAGGACATGATAACCGAGAAATTGCATCAACAGATGCAATAGTTTTTTGAAAATTCCAAAGCCTCTCTTGTCCGCAGTCTCATCCTTGAACACTGCGAAGAGAAAAAAGAATGTAAAAGACATTCAAGTTCACATTACCTTGCACAACCAAAACAAAAAGAGACTTTTCACTCAAAAAATAAAATGCAAGATCTGTACCAATGAGATTGTCAAGAGACAAAAATATTGAGCCAACAGAAAACTTCCGTCAAGGTTCTTTACTGTATTTTTTAAATTTAGATTCTAGCTCGTTGGATTTTCCTATAAATATAACGAACGGGTTGTAAAACGTTCGAGCGATTTTAGATAGCCATTTAAGGATTGGCCAATAAAAATATCTTTCAATTTCTCTTTGATGAATTTTTTCCAGAAATGTTTCAACAGGTGCTGCAACCCAACTTAACTTTGTCGGTGTTCAGTTTATCAAAGTATAATCTCTTTACATCCATTTTTTGGAAAATATCTTCTTGTTCAGAATGATTTTGTTCTTACGGTCACTGTCCAATTGCCACACTGTCATCTGAATTTCTCTTACATTTTGTAGAACAGCGAAACTTTTTTTCTGGTCTGAGCTGATGGCTTTGTTGCAACAAGATTTCAATGCAGTACCTAATTAAATCTGAGAAATGAGAAAGCGTAACAATATTATTAGTAACACGCATGTAAATCAGACAGGCGTCATGAAATTCAGAAAAACCTGTTGGAAACGTCGGCTTCATCAAAACTGCTGTTTACAGATGATGATGGCAAGTGTATAGTGTATAGAAGTGGAGAGGAGCAGGGGAAAAAGAAGCGGACAACGAGCGTTTTATGCGTGCCATCACTGTTGTATTTTGATATCATTTCTCCCTATACAAAGAAAAAAATCGCTCATGTTTTCTCTTCCACATCGTACGGCTTCTTCGTCTCTTCCAGTTTCATTACTCCTGCGTATCCGTTCGATCCCGACCAAAATTTCCCATGCGTCCGTAATTATTGGCAATGCCGCGACCGGCGGCACCACTCAATTCCTCTCTCGTTTGCGTGGATTTTGTTTTCTTAAAAAAGGAACAGGAGCGAGGAAAGACAGGAAAAGAGCACGTATTTACAGCTGCATTCGGGTTCCTCTCGTCACTCAAAAGCCGAACGTCGCACACCGACGCCAGTAACACTCGACACCTCGTTGACCTAGGAAGACCCGGCTACTAAAATATTGCATGGAAAAATAAAAACAGAGGATTCAGCCGACGGGGTAGAGGAGCGGAAGGCTTCCGAAATCATCATCGAAAAAAAAAAACCTTTTAAAACTTCTGTTATTAAAGCTTTTCGCGTCGGGCTCGGAGACGAGGACCTTTCGACCCAGGTGTCAGGTCTCAGTCTGGATTCCCGACAAACAAGCAGGGACAGGGGCTGATGACGGGGGTCTCGGACAACTGAAAAACCCAAATCCACGGTTACACATCCGGCCGAGTCTCAGTGGAACCCAAGAAGCGTTTGAAATGAACATCCAACAATAAAAACCCAGCGCATTTCCCGTTAAAAGCTAGGGAGACGAATATCACAAATTCAGGCACTAGAATCCAAAATAATTCGCGGAATCTGTTCAGTCACCGCCGGCGGAGAGCTTCACCGATTCAATTTCCCTGCGAAAATCTCCCCCGATCAGATCCAGTTTAATCAAAATGGAAAAACAAAAAAAAAACGAAACGAAACAAACGAGCCCGAGTCTCTCTCCTTCTCAAAATTCCTCAATCCAGGAAGGGCTGGGGGATGATTGGGGGTCCCTTATATTGTCGTTGTGTGCAAAAAAAATAAACACAAACGAAAACTCTCGTGGACCACACGCACTGCACTCGGTGGAGCTGGCACAAGCAGAAACCCACAAGAGAGACCAGAAAAAAAATTTCAGCAGGACCAAAAAAAACACTTTGGGACCATTGCTAGCATTTGATCACTTGCTGATGATGATTGAAGGCAGGGGACAGGGACAGGAGAAAAAAAAAGCCGCCTTACTCACGACTACACTCGCATTTTCGGAAGTCCGTGTAGTAGTGGTACAGTGATGGTTCAGGTGGTTCTTCTTCTTCTTCTTCTCTTTCTCAGGGACGCGACACCAAGCGGATGGAAACTGGGACGGAGTACAGGCAGATCCGCGAGAAAACTTTTTCCTTGGTCCAGTTGTGAAGACGCAGACTCGTGAGATTAATCTACATTGCGTTGGCCTGATTTGAAACGCTCACTACGTGCAGATCATTCAGCGCTCTCTCACCACCATCGAATAAAATTATAAAGGAACCCAGGAAACAAAACAAACGAGAACAAAGGTGCCAGAGTTGGGCCGGAAAGGTGTATAGAAAAAAAAAAAGCACAAACCCCCGCGTCGTCAGCACCTTCCAAGCAGCGTTCACAAACACGCATCATCCCCTTCTAGAGTTTGCTGATTGCTTCAAAGCGTGAACTTGAAAAATAATCCTCCGCAAAAAAAGGCTCAAACCCAGGCATCCTCGCACGCATCAAAGCAACAAAAAAACACGAAAAAAAAACCCCGAACTCAACCGACGTTAGAACACAACGCAAAAAGGAAACGCACAAAACGGCTTGGCGTCAAGAGTGCCTCGACCCAGCTGCAGTAAATACATCGTTTCTGCCTCAAAAGGAGCCACGGACTCCTCCCGCAGTTCTCCGTCAATAAATACTGACTTCCCCATCACTCTCGCCGTACAAAACACGATAATGTTCCGCTACTTGATAACAAAGCCACTTGTCGATGAGGGCGTACTTCTCCTTCTCCCGCCGCCGCCAGCCAACCAACCAACCAACCAAACGCCGCCAGCGTCCGTCCGTCCGTCCTCGAACCCTTCCTCCTCCTCCTCTGGCCGCCGCTCAAAATTCCCTCTTTTCTCCAATTTTCTTTCGCCTTTTCTTACAAAAAAAGCAACAGCGGAAAAATGATCACTTCATTTGCACTGGTTCTTTTGACTTTCCAAACAGTTTCCCTTTGGACACCACTTCGCAAAAAAAAAATTTGGCCCGTTTGTCACCATTGATTCTTCACTGCAAAGACGTCTACCACCTGAAAATAAAGAGAAAATACGTACACATTAAAATCTCGTAATAATTTTTTCAGTGAAACAATTCCGAGCAGAAAGCCCATAGAGTACGTGTTGAAACAATCTCCTTATACAAACTTCCCAATTCCAGAACAACGAACTTCTTTGAAGAATGTTTAATCGACTCTCCAGATAGAAATTTCATGACTTTATAGAATAGAAAGTTACATACATAGATAGATAGAAATTTCCACACATCATCCCTCTAGAATGATGAAATTCGTGCAAATGATGGAATCCATGATTGAAACTAATTTTTCAGAAAATAACTCAGTTTTTCAAACAATAATAAAAAAATCTGAGGATACCAGAAAAGCAAGATCTGATTGATCATAGACAGGCCTGATGTGAACAATTTTTCCAGTCATTAAATTTAAAAATATCAGATAACAAATTATTCAGTTGCAATAACATTTCCTCAAGTCCCCAAAAGTTTGTTGCAACGAGATTTTACTGAAGTTTTCCCATACAATGTTCGATTTCACACTCACGAATCAAAAAGTGACAGAAGGTCGTCGTTGGTCGTGGTGCCGCCGGAATTGCCGGATGACTGTTGAACATTATTTGCGGTAGGGGTGTGCGTCGCTGATCCCGTGTTCAAGCCGCCTCCGTTGCTACTGCCGCCTGACGACGGCGGGGTCGCCAGGTCGGGCCTCTCCAGGCACGAGATGATGTCCCACGGGTCCACCATGGAATCCGGCAATAGCTGAAACGACAAAAAAGAATTCCATTAAAGCATTCTCAAAAACCCCAGTCATCTGTCAATCTTTTTTGCGCGTGAATCGTGCATTTTTCCAAGGCGTCATAACAAGAAAATAAAAACCTAGGGGAACATTCACGGGCGGAAAATTGATTTTTGAGGAAAATTAAATTGAGGGATGACGAAAGAAAAAAGGAATCCTTCTGATGCAGGGCCAGGAAGCCAAAACGTACAACTTTTATTTTGCCTATTATACACTACATTGCCATGTTTCCATAGTTTCACCTGAACTTGTTTTAAATTTGCCAATTCCTCCAGATCAACGTGAAGAAAAAACACACATGCAAACGGGACTGCAGAATCGACAGCATTCCTGACCCCAATTTCATAAGTTGCATGCAGGGCCATCTGGCCCAACTCCAACTGTTTTGGGCCTTCAGAGTTGTGCCTGTGTCCTCAACTTTGATACTGTATAAACCACGTTAGTCCACTCCAGTCGCATTTAAGCTAAAACGTTGATATTTTAAAAGAAGTAATTCACTTAATCCATCCCTCCTTTAATTCTTACTGGAGTTGTAGACACCGGAGTCTAAATGTAGCACAACACAAAGAAGGTTTTTTTAATGGGCCATTCCGCGACTTCTCTTTAAAAAAAAAAAAAGAGGGCTTTCAAGGTGGTGGTCGGCGTAAAACTGGAGGTAAAAATAAAAAGGCATCCACATATCAGTGGTAATAGGCCAAGTTTTCCTGCCTTCGATTTCCTGGGCATTCGAAGTACGGGCAAAGGAGGAAAATTGCTTACACAGTGCAAATAAAAAAATAAAATAAAAAAATATCGGTGGAGAATTCCTGTACTTACATTGAGGCCTTCTTGGCCGGTTCCCTCGCCCTCAATGACGGCGGCGGGATCGAAGTTGAGATCAGAAGTCAAGTCGGAGGACAGGATGTCGCCGGTGCCGGAGTCGGCCGAGCCCAGGCCGGAAGTGACGGAGGACGAGTTGTTGAGGGCGCCGGGCAGGCTGGACGCCTGGCTCGCCGACGGCACGGACCCGGGCGCTTGCGACGGCACACTCGGCGGTCCACCCTGCTGCGCTGGCGTGTGCGGCGTGTGTGGCGTGTGCGGTGTCAGCGGCGTGTGCGGGTTGTTCATCTGCAAAACCGACACAGTTTGCGAATCAATAAAATATTGAAACTTTTATGTTTCTCATTTTCACAACAATAATGGGAAGAAACTCATCCTCGATGGGGGGACTCATCCTCGATTTAAAATAGGGTCTCGAATGGTGACATTTGACAGGAGACAGCTACGTTTGTAAGGGGAATCGTTTGCGCATTTGCAAATTTTTCGCTTTGAATGCCCGGTTTTGAATGACGCAATGTCATGCAACTTTTTGCGCGAAGTCGTCTAAGAAATTTTTCTAACCTAATGATTATTTCACTAAAATTTGACTAAATGAAATACACGAGTAAAAAAAAAAGTCTGGGAAATCGGGCATTTGCAAAATCAACATCAATGTCAACAAAATCGTTGACGGAAGGTCGCGAATAAATACTGTACCTGGTTGGGAGCAGGAGTGTTGGGCACAGGGTTGTTGGACGCAGGGCCGATGCTGGACATGGACGTGGGCACACTCTGGACGGGCTGGGCCATGGTGACCTGGGTGCAGCCCGCAGACGAGGACACGGCAACAGACGCCAGGGACGTGGCCGGGGTTGAGACCGGGGCCGGAGAGCCCGAACCCGGCCCGAGGTTGAACTGGTCATTCAACGTCTTCTCCATGGCATTCAGCGGATCCAGTTGGCTCACCGACTGCGACAACTGCGACAATGGCCCGCTGTTGACGGAGTACTGGCCCGAGCTCTGGCCAGGGCTGTTGTCCGCCCCGCCGTGGTGGTACCCGTAGCTGGACCCGGCGCCCGACTGCACCGCGTTGTACGGCGGCGGGTTGATCAGAGAACCGTTGTTGATACCTGATAGGAACGAACGAAGAAAACAAAAATACTGAATCAACATCGTGTCTTTTCGAGACTCCATGCTGGGCCAATAATCTTATAGAGAGATCCGCATGCATAATGTCTTGTGCAGCGGATGCGATCCACAAATTTACAATCATTTACCCTGACATGTGGACTCATAATTGGTGCTTGGACCTTGTCCCTATGTCGGATCATTTTTCCACGTAGACTTCAAAGGGAGCATATTGAATTTGTTCTCATTTTCATCAAAAATTAGGAATCAAGTCCCCAAAATTTGAATAAAAATTTTTCCACAAATTCAATATGCGGAAAATGATTGTGTAGAAAAAAACCAACAGAAATCTGATCTTTTGGCATCAGAAGGAGTTCAAGATGCAAATAACAAAAACAAGTCTTGCTATATTGTGCACAAATGATCGAAAAAATTCTTAACAAGCACACAAATAGCCTGTTTTTGATCATGAATTGGAGTAATTTATCATGAAATCTACTTTTAATTTTTATGAATATAAATAAAAGTTATATTTTTTCGAGAGATATCAAAATTTATAAAATTTAAATGTTTCAATTTTTCTAGAGATGCTGGAAAAAAAATGTCCGCATCTCGAGTCATTGTCTGCATGTTTGGGCACATTTTCAGCGTGCCAGAGTCGAATCGTATATATTTCGGGGTCCCGTTGCATAGTTAATTCGCGTGTATAAGACTTGTTTCTTACTCCATTCTTACTCGCAAGAAATGAAGGGATACTTTTAATACGTTTATCGCACTGGGAATACGTTTTAAAAAATACCGGAACAAAGTGCGGAGGCCCGACTACGTGGAATGCAATTTGAGCTTTTAGAAACAAAAATTAGAAGACCTGCATTTCTATACAACCATTAAAATGCATCGTGTTCGAGACGATAATGTAATACTTTTTTAGTTTACTGTTTGGTCTACCCTTCACAACAGTATTTCTAGGGTATTGTGAAGCACCGAGAAATGCGTCCAAGATTCGCCACAAAAATTTTAAGCTCTTTCGGGAGCCGTTAAATTAAGATGCGCATTGGAATCCGTGGCATCTCATTTTTTCGCTAAAAGGGCAATGACTGAAAGACTCGGTATTTTGGTTCAACTTATCCTAATGCAAATATGCAATTAGCACCAAATATGCCGTTTTACAGGCCCGCAAAGCATTTTCGATAATCCCGGATGACAGAGATGAAGACGAAAACAGGGTGCTCAAAAACTCCCGAAGAAGATAAACCCTGTGCGGGGAAGTAAACCATGGCTAACATAACTCATTACACGGAAATAGTAACAGTTTAGATTCCAGGCCGCAGGGCTTTACGGGAGTTCATAAGGAAGAATGAGATTAAGCGGTTTCTTTTATAATTTCGAGAAAATTAACCGTGGTTACAAAATGCCTGTGAGGACAAAATACTCGAACGAGTAAAACATCTCGTTTGAAAAGCTAAAACGTCCCTCCATTAACTTCACACATAATAAAATATTAATAACAGCCAAATTTCGCAGAAGTTTTTAGTTTGAAGACATTGATTTGTATTCTGAAAATGGCTTCAAATTCAATTACACTGAAGCGTGAGAATTTTTTTTTTTTTAATAAAGACTGACATGGGAATCTTTTTCAAGAGTTGATATCTTCGCTAATCCATTTGGATAAATATAGGAACGGTTTTAGATAAAATTAGTAGCATAGAAAAAACAATGACTAAAGAAGTTGATGGGCGTGTGGAAAAGCGAGATACGATTCGCAATATGCTCAGGTATTCTGACCGTGCGTGTTTAATGTACTTACATTTTTTTAATAGTGAATTTTTCGGCGACAAGAAGTCAGTTTTAATTCGATGAAGAATCGCCGTTGACTTACTGTTCATGTCTGGTGTGGAGTAAGGCGACATGGACTGGTTGTGACCGTCCCAGTTGGAAATCGTCGGCAGATTCATGCTGCCCGGCGAAGTTGCTTTAAACATCTTGGAGGAACAACTGGATTCCTGGTCTTCTTCCTTGATGGCTTTGCCAGACATCGGCCTCCACGACGCAGAAGAATCAATCGTGATTTCATCCACTTCTGAATTCGACAGGCTGTTCAGCACTCCCCAGATGTACTGGTCAACTTCCAGGCCTTCCAGAAGCGCAGGTTTGCTGAGAAAATTTTGAGAAAACAAAATTAGTAAATAAAACGACAGTCCCAAACATTCAACCGAAAAAAACTTCCGTTATTGTACATACGTGAATACTTTTACAGCAGCAAAGCTCTAAAACAGGTTCTGTATGTGACTTAGTATGCTACTGTAAGTTGAAAATTCAGGTTGGCTAGTTTTTTCACTCAGCAGATGCAAAATCAGATCAGTTCTTCCACCCTGCATTTCTTGCAAAATTAAATGAATTCATGAAGTGCTGAATTATCTTACTGTAAGATTTTATTCCAATAGTGGAATAAAAATCTTGGGGGCAAGTTTCCCTGAAAATTTGAAAATCATATCACTGAAGAAATTGTTAGTTTGATGAAAATGATTGAAGTCCAAGATCTACTAGTCAGATAAAGTTTTCTACCATTATAAAAAAGTTAAGAAACAATTCAAGCTGTAATTTAAGACCAAGAACAATTTATGCGCCAAAAATTAAATGAGATATGCACTTTGGTATGTTGCAATGTGATTGATTGCATCATGTGTGAAAAAACGTTCTCTTCCCCTGCAAGTATTTTTATTGTTTTTGAGAATAAGTTTCATCATAAACTTCTCGGTGATTTTATTTGCTGATTTTGTCGTGTGTTCGCGTTTGTTTTTGACTGATACATGTGAGAAGAATAAGGTCTCAAGTAAACATCCAAGCAGGGCGAATGCTGCCGATTTTCTTCGCCATAAAATGTCTACTTTAACCTGCTATGAGGTTGCATAACTACTTCAGCACGCTGGTGTTCCTTAAATTATATGAATGTAGAGTATATTTTTAAGCTGTTGGATCTGCATTATCATTAGATGCAGGACAAATGCTGATAAAGAATTAGCCTTTTAGAAAGATAGGGAAATTTGCGGCAGCAACCGCGGAGATCCGTCATTGATGGGGGAAAGAACTCGGGATTGATTTTTAAATGCGGCTTAAATTCGCAGTACTGTCCAGTACTCATTCGATTCGACCTGCTGCAACAACCAGCGCTACACATTTCAAGCGGATGCAGCAGATGAGGAGATAATCTTACTTGCACACAGGACACCGCCAAGAGCCCCGTTCGCAGTTCATCTGGAGATAGGACTCGAGATCGAAGCACTGAATGTGCTTGCAGTCGGAGCCGCGAGCGGGCAGCGAAATGCGCTTGAAGGTGATGGGGCACTTGAGGGACACTTTAATGGCCGTTTGTTCCACGCCGTCGGCTTCCGGGTTGCACGAGCCCGGCCCACCCGGACCCGCCGGGTTCGCGCCGTTCATGCTGGACGTGGAGAAGTTCCGCTTGATCTTGGAGATGCACAACTCGGCCGGAAGGAGTCGTTTCCGGAGCAGGCCTTGCAGCACGCTTCTCACGCTCGGCCGATGCACCAGTTGCAGCACGAACAAGTGCGACTGCGATTCAAAATAACACAAAAAAAAAAAACGCATGGCGTCATCAAATCCCGCTCTCTTGAATTTCAAATCTACCACAGAAAAAGCTAACGCTTCTTTCAACATTTTACACACTATACCCCAAAAAAAATTATTCATATACCGAGGCTGACAACATTTGAACAGACAAACGAGACGTGATCACAAATGTGGCTTTCAGATTGCAAAACCCCTCCCATCCAAATTTCCAAGAAATACTCTGTGATTTTATGAAGTCCAATGCAATTTAAACTCAGAATAGAAATTTAAAATCCCCTCATTTCTGAAGTCTCCTTGCATTCGTCGTAACATTGTTCGGGTGAAAAATAATAATAAAAACACGGAAAGAAAAATACTTTTCAAAGCTTTTTGAATGCTTTCACTTGAGGGACACTTTAATGGCCGTTTGTTCCACGCCGTCGGCCCCTTGGTCCGCGGACGAGCATTGCGATTTTCGTTATAATGGAATGACCATTTTCATAAACGTTATTATTCAGTACCCCATACAGAAATTCAAGCTTTCATGTCCTGTTCTACAGCAAATTTTGCAAAAATCATGCTTAGGTGATTTTAAAAACTAATGCAAACCCTGTGAAATATGCCTTGAAGATTTTAAATACCTGCAAGTTGAACAACAGTGGTATAAGCGCTCTTGAAAATTGCACGTCTGAAAAACTGCAATTTTAAATTATTGTTCCCCCTTTAAATTCTAGACGCGTTCGAGTTGAAAGGTGTGGTTCCAGGACTTTAAAAAACTGTACGTCAGAAAAATCGTCTGCCAGTCAACAGAAAGAGGTGTTCTTTATGTACTGATTCCCGGACCCCACCAATAAAAAACAAAACAAAAAGTTTGACGAACACTGCTCCAGTACGTAATTAGGCCGCACCCGATTCTTCAGGCGCCCTGTTATTCGCATTGGGAATAAAGTGCGACCGAACCCCCCTCGCGTGAATTCAGCGCAAAAAAAAACAATACTGTATCGTTCAGTGCGGGATTCAGGAGCAAGTCGAGTGACTCACACAACAACAGGCCGCGACGGTGATTTGGATGCTGTTGCGGCCCGGCTGGCAGACCTGCTTCAGGTACAGGGGCTTGTGCGAACCTCCTTTGCCGTCCCCGCGCTCAATGTTGAGTGGGTTCGCGTTGACAGACACTTGCACGCTCTGCGGCCAGTTGGTGCTCATCTGACGGTCCTCGTGGTGGAAGCATTTCAGTTGCAGCTCCAAGTCAGACCTGCAAATCAAAAACGCCACATTATATTTTCCGAGAGGGATACGTTTATGGTAAAATTCCGCCAAAATGAATTTTGTTAAAACGAAATCTTTTCTTAGACCCGGCAGTTTCTTCACGGGTACAATGGACTGAGAGTGTCGTTACAACAAAAATGAGGAATGTGATCATGAGCATTGTACATCTGTCACCGTTTTTATGCTTCCAAATCCCCAATCTAGAGATCCACCAAAAAAAAAAAAATGATTAACCTTCTAAAGGGTTAAACAGATCCTTTAAGAGGTTCCCCTAGACTACACAAATGCATTTTCTCGACGATCTCAGTAAAAACAAGTTTTTTGACTCGCAAGCATGGGCCATGGGAATTTTTACCAATTGACAAAATATGGGAAACCCCAGCTTATGCATGACTGACAAACCTTCAAAAATGTATACACTAATCTTTGTGTACAAACAATTTAGCATCGCAGGAAGCATGAAGCTTTAGTTGAAATTTGTTCAGCTTTACTTGAGCATTTAGAAATGGCTAATTTTTTGAAAGAAAAGCATGTTTGGAAGGACACTGCTATATATATATATTGGAATTTTTTCCAACTTAGGCTATGGCTCAAAAATTATATTTTTTCTTTTTAATGCTCGTTCGCATACGATATTTCCAAAATATTCCGAATTTTCCACAGAAGGATTAAAGCATATATTACATGTTTCCCACAAAATGTTAGTCCTTTAAATGCTCAAAGAACCAGGAATCTCGTTATCACGATTTTTTTTTCTCAGGTCCCTGATAGTTCGTTGTAACAAGATTTCATTGTGTATATAATGAATACGAACCGATACATGAGGGTTTGGTGGACCTCAGGCTTGAGCTGGAACATGTGGTTCGACACGGCGAGGTTGTGCGCGAGGCGAAAAGGCGGCATGACGATCCCATCTCTCACTGGGAACGTAAGGCGAAGCTCGTCTGGAACAGAATCAAATCCGAATTATTTCTCCCCACAACGTTCATCCGCAGAATGCAATTCTCTATTGATTGATGTATGCCTCTTTGGCACAGCAATGCATTCCGCATTTGATGATTACGGGGATTGCTCAGAAAGTTTTGCCAATACAGCGTTCTTCAAGATATTATTTCAACGGTTATTTATTTTTTATTTTTGGATCCGGGAGAAAACCCCAATATACTCAACCGCTGATCGAGTCGTTCTCCCAGCTAAAATTAAAATCGTTCTTCAAGTGCCGAAGCTTTGCAGTTTTCCAACCACTGCGCGATCAATTCTAAGTTCTACACAATTGATGAGAGTTTCCTCCAATTTTAGGTCGGATTCCGGCGCCTTTTCAACCTCCAGTTGACGAAAAATTAAAGGAGAAAAGCAAAAAACCGTCCAGGTTTACTGTAAAATTTGAAGTCTTTTTCTTCAAGTATACTCACTCATTTGAACGGATCCGGGTTTGTTGTCCGGAGGATAAGGCGGCTTGACGTCCGGCACGTTGGTGGCCGTGGACGGGGACATGTAGGGTGGGACAGTGGAACCAGGCGTGAGCGGCGGGGTAGGGTTGCCCGGGATCGGGCTGTGCTGGTAGTTGAGACTCGTACTCTGGTACGACGGTTCCTGCGGGCCCATGAAAACCTGCTGCTGCATGCTCGCTCCGAACGGACCCTGCTGCTGCTGCTGCGGTTGCTGCTGCTGCTGCACTTGGCCCTGCTCAAGACAACACAAAAACCGAATTATTTAAAATACAAATACACAAGTATGATCAAGAGTATAGAGTTTCTAGAGCAATGGTCTGCAACCCGGGAAATTATTTTCCGCAAAATAAATTTATCGAAGGTAGAAATGAAGTCAGTTGTCTTCACTGACATTTTGGAAAGATAAATTTAGTTGAAATTACCCGATGCAAAATATAAATTGGCTTTTCTCCTAATAGCACCTCAAATAAATTAATACAGCTGGTGAACATTTTCCGAAGTTTCCATTCTGAGAAACCTTTCTTGAAGCCCAGCCTTTTAATTTTTTTCAACACATTCCACTATAGCTGCTTCAGTGGTTCTTATCTTAATTTTTGAAATACAGGTTTTGTTAAGAGAATTTTAAGACAGCTATTTTTATAAGTTCTGCTGTTCTGTAAACATTTTATGGAAATTTGCCGGTTCACGGGCCCAAAAAGGTTTTAAAACACTGATCTAGACGATCCAAAGTGAAAAAAACCCTCAAGCAATGCCACAATGGCATGAATCTCACCACTCAATACCAGAAAACCCGCCAAATTATTGCGAAATATTTCTGCTTCTCCAACAGTCCAGTACTATTGGCAAAAAAAATTGCTCTCGCACAGAAAGGTGCGTTCGGAATGCGGATCGTTCCTCTTTTTCCAGAGGCAAGAAATGGGCTTGCATCGTGAATAATGAACAAATTCAAATCCTATTTTTCTTTTCTTTTTTCAACAGAAAGGGTCCACTTGGATTTTAAATACTGTATTTAAAAAATAATAATGGGATCTATATTAAGACAGCCTAAGCTAAGCAAGACTGGAAAAACCGTGACAAGATTCGAGTGACACCTACGCAACAGAGAAAAGAAATCACAGACTCAGGGACAACTCTCGTTAAATTTTTAAACAATCCCAATAAACAGCCTTTTGCGACAGTTAGAGTCGAAGTACGGAAAACAAAATTCAAACCTGTGCAAACGAGGAGCTCACCTGCTGCATGCCCGGGTACTGGGACACAGGTGGTCGCTGCGGGTTGTACTGGCCCTGAGGCTGGAAATACTGGTTGGGCGGCGGCTGTGCGCCGTGAGGATTGTAGGACATGCGAACCCCTCCAGCGCCGCCCGGGTTGGCACCGGCGCCACCTCCGGGTCCCATCGGGCGCGGGTAGCAGTTCCCGGCGCCCATCGGTTGTCCACTGCCTTGCTGAGGACCGTACCCACCGGAACCACCCGGGAACCCACGGTGTCCGCCGTACTGTCCTCCATACTGCGAATGGTAAAAATTCAATTTCATTCAATCATTTCGTGGGTTTCGAGCATTGACAAACAAGCGAAACAATATCATGAGACAAGACGAAGCACTTCCGCAGAAGTACTCGTCCACGGGATCACATTGCACTAATACGAATGCCAAGCATAACAAGCGGTTCCCATTCCAACAGCATTTCGAAAATTCTAGCTTCCGAGAAAGAAAAAAAAGGAAACCTTTCACAGGTGGGCAGAAGTACCGAATGAATGTTTACGAACCATGAAAAGTAATAGGTCAATGGAAAGGAATTTAAGAACACTAGACCGTTAGCTCTAAATACCCAGCAGTAGTTCATGGTTTTCGCAAGCTTTGATGATCGAAAAGAAAATGTGCAGCATTACGCTAATTCGCAGGCGAACAGATGATTCGGTTTACAGCCTTCCTCTCGATTTCAGAAATGGATAAAACGAACCCATCCCTCCGTGTTCCAAAAACGTCCAAAAGATTTAAAGCTCATGAAATCCGCCATTAGCCGATCTTAAATGTGCAAATGAACCCACAAAAATCCAACAGCTGGAATGCGGCCTAGAACAATAAAAAGCACGCTCCTACGCATTATAAGGATCCGAAAACAAAGACACGTACAGTATAGGAATTCTTGGTAAATATGGGCGAATTATTTTTGAAACGGTCGACATTAGACCGGAGTTTAGGCAAACAAACTGGTCGTTGAACTGGGCAGTTGAGCGAGTCCCAAAACAGCACTTAAAAAGTAGCAAATTCTCGCGATTAAAATACACAGATAATGAGGTTAATTCTGGATATAAATGTTCTTCATAAGGTCATGTTCACTAAGGTTAAATTAACTTAGATCAACTACATCATTGCCTAACGCTGATGAATTGTTTCCGGTCAATGCTTCTTTTGTGGTGATGAGTCCCTGTGACTCGGAGAAATATTTTGCACAAGTATTTTCGTCACCTGAACTTGCTTTTGGCAAGAAATTCAGCGCCCAAGTCGACGAGTGCGGTGAAATCTCATCCCCACACAAAGATGACATTTTAAAAAGCAAGAAAACTACGATCCCCGCATGAAGTTATAGCAAGTACAGTACATTGGAGCCCCGAGTTACGGACGCAATTGGAGCTCGAACCTCGTCCCTATGTCGGAACATCCTCACGTCGGATCATGTTTTACGAATTTGAGTATGCAATTTTATACTGAAATTCATTTTCAATTTTTGTTAATACAGTATATATAGCTCAGCTTGTTCAAGAGATACAAAAAATTCTATTTTTCTAGAAACGTTTGGAAAAAGTGTCCTTATCGAGACAATTCCCTGATGTCGGTGCAGACATTTTCAAATTTGAGTGTCCCCAAGTCGAATCGTTCGTCTATCGGGGTCTCACTGCATTTTCTCCCATTTCGTGTGTCTCCCGAAGATCCCGAGAATGAAGTGATATTATCTTAACGAGAATAGTCGGCAGTGGCGGCGTCGGCGTCGCACGAAAGGCGTCGGAACTCGCACGCACTCATTCTACGGAAATGGCTCGTGTGGCACGTCGGATGACCGTTCATTTCACTCTCAGGAAGAGGTGGGGAAAGTGACGCGGTCTCGGAAAGAAATGAGGCGCGGCTATTTTATTTTATTCATCATTTATCTATATATTTTTTTCCCACAGCCAGCTTCCGCGAGATCAAGAGGATAGTACCTCACGTCTTCAGCAATCAATTCAATGAGACGCGAAGCAGACAAAATAAACTCGAGGAATCTTGAATCAAGAGAGGGTGGATCACGAACAACAGGAAAATTTGTATAGATGACTTTGTACACGGTTGAGTCGTATCATACCGATAATTTTAAACGAATTGCAATTTGCTTGCTGGCTCTAGTTGCACTGGAGTACCACAAAGGCCACGTTTAAAAGGATTACTCGTGATGGAAGACATTTTTCGAGTTTAATTTCTCCTACCACCACTAGAATAGGCGTAGAACTAATCTATCGAGCGATTTTTACAGCAAACCATTTTTAATCAACTATAAACTAATTCCATAATTCGGAACGAATATTGTTCGACACAAATGAGAAATTAAAATGATTCAGGTCTCACAAACTGCAAGCAAATTCCGCGCAGTTTGGTGTTAGACTAGTTAGAGTAATATTTTTTTTTGACAGACATCCATCTGCTGTTCGGATTATCAAGACACGGAATGTTCGATGTCATTTCATTTTGAGAAGAATGGACACATCGAATACATGTTTCAACCCATAAAAGTTACTGCAACACATTTCAAGAAGCATGCAAAAATCAAATGTCAACCCAGAGAAGGCTAGAGGCACTTTACATCCATTGAGGAAAATTTAATTCCGCGCTTTTGGGGTGTTAGCTTGAACAATTCTCAAGATATAAAGATTTAAAAATCCAGGTTTTTCAAGTACACCCTGTAAATCTAGAAGCTGGCAAAAATGAAAACAAAACTTTCGTTTTACCTTCGGTCATCGAACAGGTACCAGATGAGCCACACTGAACTGCCAAGCAACTCACACATTCACGTTTTCCAATCTGCTCATTATCAGCCTGCAGCAAATCATCGAAGTCGAGTGTGACGCTTCCGGCCCGACGTACACACGCACAAGCGCGAGAAGAGTAATGGTGTAGCAGTGCAGTAGGAAATCTCAGGCGAAATCATTCCTTTGTACGAAAATATCTTCATTGGAGACTGATCAAACCAAACTTTTGATTTCCAAATATCCAATACTGATTCATTAAGGATTTTGAAAAAAAAATGCTGCGCTGTTTCAAAAAGTTACTGTAATTCAATTTCACCTCTCTATAGAGCGTAAAAGGAATTGCAAGACAGCACAAACATTCAGCGATGCAAGAATTTCCGAAAATCAGCAGCACATTTTCAAAGTTTGTAGAGAGAAACATTCAAAACAGTAATTTAGGTTCATCTAGTTTAAAGGTTTGATTTTGTAAATAAACCTAACATTGCCGCAAGGTTGAAATCCGTTCTTCGTAGATTTCAGAAAATCTGTAGCACATTGTCAAAGCTTTGAAGCATCGCAGTGTAACGAGAATCATTCTAAATTATAAATTCAGCATCATCCGGTTGAAAGGTTGTTTTTTTGCAAATCAACATCGCATTGCTACTTGTTGACCACAAAATTGACATCCGTTTCCAATGAAAATTTCAAGGTGACCGGTGAAAATTTAGAGAAAATTCTCCATGGATCAGCTTAAAAACCGGAAGGCAGGTTAAAACCAACCGCGTGTACATTATTTTCATACACTGTACTTCGCGAGGTTCCAAACAAATAATTCGTGCATTACGCATGCATTTATTCAAGCCATGCTAGGAGTCGCAGAAATCTATTCAAGTCACACCTAATTGAAGAATTAGCAGCAAAAGAAAATCGGGTTCGCGGGATTGAGTTCAATGGATTTGAAAAATAAAGCGAAGGCGGTGAAAAAATCCGTGTCGCCGAGGGAATGAATCTGATAAGAAAGCTGTCGGGGAAAAAAAATGAAGTCCACCCCTCGGTCGCCATAGTTTGCACACCAGTGGGACGATAATAACCGTCTCCCTCCTGAGCTTCGCCTTCTCCATCTTCGCAACAAAAAAAACAAAAAAAAAAAAACTGCAAAGACTCCTTCTCGCCTCTTTCCCAGATGAATGTAAAATAAAAAAGCAGCGAAAGTCATCGAATGAAGGAGACTAGACTTGGCGAATTCACAGCGTTGCATTTGTTCAGCAGCGCCAGTCTGCGCGTGGCAGCCGTAAAACCAACTTTTTCAGACAAGTAGAAACCTTATTTTTTTTGGGCACCGTCCCGAAAACGGGAACAAAAGATGTCGCATCTATCCATGCCAACGATCCCCCACTGCCGAAAGTACAGAAAAAAGGACCCTTGGAACACTAAACGAAACCCGTTTGACTTAGCATTAACGAACTCAGAGGGCGTATGATCGACGATGTTGCTTTCCAGAACTCAGTTTCAGGTCAACTCAAATCTTTAAAAAATTAAAAACCCAGTCAACCATATATTTAATGGATCCTAACCCGCGTCTGATTTTTTCAGTCGCACAAACTAACCACTTTCTTTGCTTTTCCCAAATCCATCAAAGATATTACAATTACGTTATAAACTCAAACAAAATGAAAATAAGAGCACAATTTATTTTTCTAACACGAGGAAATGATCCCAATAAAATATTTCTACCAGAAAGAAATTCAACCATCCAATTTGAAATGCATTCTCACATTCGCTCGTTCGACAAGGTTCTTTATTAAATTTCGATTTAGCTTTAAATTTGTCCTGTGTGATGAATTCATTCGAACGAATGAAGGCACATTATTCCAAATCGAAAGAAAAGCCCACGAAAACCAGCCAACACGGAGATTGAAGAGGAGTTGAACGAGAAATTCTGGCACGAATCAAGCAGGCACACGCAGAATGAAACATTCACATTTTTAAAATTCCAACATATTGCCAGAAAATAAGATGGCCCGTTTCTCGAAGGAATTTGTTTCCAAGAGAAGACGAGGATCACAAGGCACATTCTTCGTATGGAAACGGAATAAAGATAAAAAAAAAAAAAAGACGGCTGGCTAATGAGGACCGCAGAACGCTTTCCGTCAGGCAACAAGACAAATACGAGTATGTGGAACCGATCCCAGAACCCACCCGAGAATCTCGTGCTCAAGACACACGTATATTCGCACACATGCATCCTTCAAGGAAGACTTTCCCTGCTGGAAATGAAATCACAGTCTCGAAAGAATTGACTCGGGAATTCATGGAGAAACTTCAACGATGTAGTGAACATGAAACGTCACACGAACTTGAGCATCACGCGCAAACTTTTCATTTTAAAATTTGTCAACTAAAACTATGTAATAAGGGATAACGCATTTTGAGTTTTTCGGTCTATTCAGTGATTCTAAAGCTTATGCAATTTGATTAAATGCATCAATTAGTTAACTTCGTGTGGACAACTTTTAAAAAACTTCAGGAGAAATCGAATCATCGTGAAATATGTTTTCATTCGATTTGAAATTTTAAAATTAAAACAAAAGTCAACCACCCTCATCCACAGATAAACGATCATCTCTTCATGATTTCCAGCAAATTCTGCAATTGGAAGAACATAATGAAAACATTAAATAAATTAACGAGCGGATGCCATATTTTTCTTCCGACTTGTGGTCCGAAGAAGAAGAGGAGAAGATCAAATTTCTCCACGTTTTTTTTTCTTTTTTCCTTCTCGTTTACTCTGCAAGCTTGAGACTTGAAGAATCAGTCCAAAAAGGCGAGTATACGCAGGCACATGTTCCGATATATTATTAGCCGGGATCCGGGAGCGGTTTTTGGCCGCGTTTCCCGCCGTTTCCCAGAGAAACTTAAACCCGAACCCCTCGTATCATCGACAACGGGACGAAGGGCCCCCCGACTCTCGACAGAAGGCTAATTCTATCAACTTGGCAGAATTTACACGCCAGTGTTGCCCGAGCGAGCCGCGAAACCCGCACCTGCCGGCGGCTCGATTTCGTCACCTGCCAAGAATTCGTCACCCCGGGTTCCCGGGTTATCTGGACGACTCAATCCAGGATTAGAACCCGCAACCATTCACACATCCAGTCCTGGAATAAAGCGAAACATTCCGGAGCCGGGTGCAGTCGGTGCCAATGCGAACAATCTCGGGGTGCTGAGTCGGGTTCTCGCATCCGGCGCCAGGGTTCGACGCCCAGCTTTTAATTCGGCATTCTCGACAACTCGAAAATAACCCCGTGCCGCTCCCACACGCACTCGCCTCAGTTCATTCACGGGCCAGCCACCTGACCTCGGGATTCCCTTGACCCAACCCGGCCCAAATCTCGATCATTTTTTTCGCTGAACCGTCGAACATTAACCGACTGCTCGCTACTTTCGCGTGAGAGCAATCACAAAGAGAATATTTGCACATCAAAGTGAAATCTGCTCATTGACACTGGGACCAATCAATACTGTATTTCACTTCTGAACGCGTCAAAAAAGATGTCGGCTTAAAGGGAGAAATTACTTGGTTTTGTTCGAAGGGCCGAAGAAGTGTTTCTGAGGGTGGGTAGATGTCACTGGCTCTATCAGTTGCGTTTTAGTCGTATTCGAAGTTCCGCCTACTCCTTAAATTTGTGAAATCGCGAGGACGGATTCTTTCAAGAGTTCCAGCTACTAACAGTAATTTAATAACCTTTTCGTCACACGTAACGTCAATTATAAGGTGGCCGTATGCGTTTTGCCAACGATTTATAGCACCCAAAGAGCTGATTTTTGCACTGTATTGTGACTTTAGGTGCATCAGATGTGACACTTGACTCGATAAGACTCCTATTTGAAGGGAAAAAATATGGAAAATGCACTACTTTATGATGCAGACGAAAAAGAAATGAAGACAAGCTAGAATACTTTTACAGTATCTTTAGCATTGGAATAACGAAATGAAAAAAAACCAATCCCACGCTCTCGAATGGGTCGATTTTATGCATGTCACGATACGTTTGAACATCAGACTGGATAGTTTTACAACCAGAAGCCAGATTCAAGTATATCAACTAACGTCGAGACTTGCAGGCATTAAGTGACATTTGTGTCATAGGAAATAGATGGCGATAACGATAAAAGATTTGTAAAATGTCGCTCTGCGCAGATCAAAGAGAGCAGGTCAGCTTACGACCTTGGATCAATCAGTAAGAGTTTTTAAATGGCTTTTCTTTAGAGACGTTTCGCAGAAAGGCTCGATATTTTCAAAGTTAAGCTTTCAAAGAAAAGTCCGCGTGTTCATTGGATTTTATCAAAAGTTTTTCGAGATCTAACATGGCGTAAGTTCATTGAAAAACACTTTCTCGACACCAGACCAAGGAAATGTCGAGATAGCCGAGTTTATTTATTTATAAGATTCCGAAGCCACATTGATCTTCATTGTTCGAAGTAAGATAGTCGAAAGCAAAGAAGGTGACATTATGACATCGGAATCCAACAATTCAAGGATAGTATGCCGAATTCCCGGAAACTGGTAGGGGATGTAAACCCCCCATTCACACCACTGAAAAGGAGCAGCAGCAACATGATTACAAGCACTATAGCTTTTTTTTTTTTTTCAAAACGGAATGTCAACATACTGCATTTACTTATAAAGTGCCGTATTTACGAGATGAGAATCCGCAATCCTATTTTTTGCGCCAAAATCCTGAGACAATTTCGCCTCCGAATAAAGATTTTCTTTGTATTCAATTCCTTCAAAATCAGCGCAGTCCGTTGCTTTTTCTCACTCTTGTGCTTCAGACAGCTCAATTTCTTCAAATACTTTCAGATTTAAAATGTTCTGCCCTTCAACCGAAAAATTTTGCAAAGATGGGTTGAACTGGATTTCAGAATCGAAATTTCCAAAATTTAACAGGCCTAACGCACTTGAATTACGCCTTCAAAAATGAGACGCACGAAAATTTCCTCGCGTTCTTTGCAGTTGAAAACATGAAAGTTGCATGAGATGTCCGTTTCACTAGCATTTCGAGAGTTTAAAAAACGCTAATCCTCGCAGAGTGGTCTTCACTCAACTGAGATTCAGTCAATCAAGAATTTAATTTCATGCTGTAAACGCTTCTTAAAGATACATCCCCATGCTACAAGATTAGACCCAAGTTTTTTTTTTTTTTTTTTTCATGCTCGAGGTTCATTAAACACTTCCTTAAACCCAAGAATATCATTTAAAATCAAGACAGTCGACCAGGAAAGGTGCACTCGAGGCACCGAAAATTCCATCATTTCAGCAGCACACGTCGCATGTCTGCTGGAACCTGGCAGAGGTTGGAATCGCGTGATGGGAAATCCACGATTAGAACAGTACAGTACAGTACAGGAGAAAACCCACGAATCTCGCGCAAATAACAAAATTCGAAAGACAGATAAATAAATAATATGCAGGTAAATTGTAAGAAAGCAGAGGCGACGTCAACCGCCCAGTTGCCAGCACGGATTTCAGGGCCGATCCACTAAAGCTCAAGGGCGCAGCGGAGCCGGGAATCATGCGGATCGGATGCTTCCAGTACCCGTAAGAAACAAGACAATAATTCGAGGAATGGGTACAAAGAGGTTATAAAAAAATTAAAATAAACTGGGCTTCCGCACTCGCGCCACACTCACACGCAGTCGCTGCTGCCGAGAGTCCGGTCAAGCCGAAGGACAAAGATTTGCATACGACCTTTACCAGCATTTAAAACCAGAATTCTCGCTTCACCTCATTGATTTCAAGGATCAAAGAGCTCGTCAGGTCCTCCTATTACTTGAAGAAACAAACCTTTACGGTTTTAACATGAAAAAGACCAGCATTTCCGAACCTTTGACTTGAAATTCATGCATAAGGCTGAATATCCTAGGGCTACGCTATTCCCCCCTTTCTTATGCATCATGCGTGGGTTCAAAAAGAAAAATTCCCATCATTAATATCTTTACATCAAGTAGAAGGAAACATATTTACAGAACATAACGCTTGACCTACTACTCATTCATTTTTTTAACCCACTTGTATCATTTCTATTCTGGAAGTCATTCACAAAATGTAAATACCTGAATAAGATATAGTCACCCAAGCCTTACGTATAGCTCACAGATCGTGGGATAGACGTCCCATGTTTTGGAAACCCTTTTCGGGTTCGAAAATCAGAACGTCATCAACGTCCGTATACGCCCAGATTTCGAGAATAGTGTACTTAAAAAGTATAGTGCTAGATCCTATTGCACCTCCGTTCTCATATGTGTGCATATTGTATCTCATGATTTAAATTGAATAATGTTCATCTTCATTCAATTTTTATCATTACTCCTGGAATGGCCATGAGCAACTGAAAAGTGTACAGCGAGAATAGGTTTCGAACCAGTGTCCAAGCCTAGTGTTCTTTAAGCAACAGTTGACAAAAGTATTCTGAAGAAATCCCGATAACTCTTGAATGAGGATATCCGACAAAATATCTGTGTACAAATGTCATCGTGAACGCGCAGTTCCATACACCCGAAATGAAATTTAAATTTGATCAAAAGACGGCATTTTCCTGCCATGACCACCAGCAAAATCGGCGAAAAATCCCTCATTTCCACACTACCTTTCCACCCTTGGTAATATGGCAAACCTGTTCTAGGCTCTAGAAAACATCAACGGACTGAATTTCGAGTACACACGAGAGGAATGTCGACCCTCGACCGAATGTTTTCAAGTAAAGAATTAAACTCACTTGAGGCGGGGTCATGCTAGGTCCCATGCCCGGGTTGTAATTGGGTGTCGGGGACGGGTAGGGCCCGTGTGCACCGTGGGCCGCTTGTCGCTTTTGGGCCAGGTACTGCGGGTTTGGGTACGGGGCCGCGTTTACGCGGGCACCGTACATCCCTTGCTGTGGACCTCCGCCACCCTGTAAAAAAAACCGAACAAGCAAAAGTTGAAATCAAAACTCACAGAAAAATTAGTCAAGGACCATCCGTTCGAGATAACTTCGGGTTCAGACGGCAGTTGAAAAATATTCCCGAAGTGCACACGTAACGCAATTTGATTTCATTTCCGACCACGTGTCTCGAGAAAACTAATTTTTGACATGAATTGCGAACTCTCCAAAATAAACTCATTTAAACGTGTCCTCGGTACACTCTATAATATAAACTGAGTTTAATATGAACCGAAGCAAGGCAGAAGCAAGGGGAAAACATTCCTGCATGGCTTTCATTACAATCCCTAAAATTTGAAACACATGCAGGGAATTCTCGTTAAAACAAACTCGCGGGGACTTCAGAAAAAGTTTGCTACTGTAAACGCAATAATATCATCAAATGTGCTATTATCGATCGGCTTGATAAAAAAAAACCAGGTGGATATCCATTCTACTTATATCACATGAAAGGTCATTCGAATTAAAATTTGACTCGTTACTATTGGTTGTCCAGGAATCCGAGGCAGAATCACTTCAGAATTGTGCCGAAATTCGGCGAAAATTTTCACTTTTAAAATTAGACAGCAGCCGCACAGAACATGCTCTCAAGATAAGCCGAACTGCATTTGCAGAAGATAATTCAGCAGGTCAACAGGGTTAAATTGAACAAGTCATTAACATTAAATTTCTAAAAATACGCAATTAAAATCGAGAGCTCCAGGGGTTCAGCGTAAAAATACTGTAGTTCCAATCGTCAGGGACTCCAAAAATAAATAAATAAACTAAACAGAGACGCGGGAAACGTCGACTCCAAATTGGCAGAAAAATCATCTCGGGCCATGCATCTCCATTTAACGAATTAAGAAAAACGATCCTCCAAGTACCGATTTCGCCTATGAACCCTCCGAACCCGTCGACAGGTCAATTCATTCACCGACAACAAAAACGGACGTTCGAAGAAGAATGTTTCGGGATTATCATTCCAAACTTCATTCATTCCTGGCACTCGAAAGGGAAAGGCCATCTGCACGCACAGAAACAAACCGACAGAACAAAGTCGTCGCCCCCATTTAGGCTATTGATCCCTGCCAACACCGCCAAAAATAAACACGCGGTTCGCTACACCTGGTTTTTTTTTTGCCCCGCTGCTCCGTGAAAAAAAACAACTTCACCGCGTCGCAACATACACCTCGCAAAAACAACTACTTCTTTGTTATTTTGAGGTATATGGCAAAATCAGACTAACGCCTGCAAGAATCAGCTAGAAGTAGAATCATTCTTCTGTCGCCAAAATACGAGGGTTGTCCCAGTTGGAGGCGTCTTCTGATAGTTCTAGAGTAGGGGTTCCGGCGAAAAAAAAAAAAATCGTGACATAGCCCATGTTCCAAGGTTCTGAGATTTTTCCGGATTCAACAAAAGTTTTCAATTTACTGCATGATGATACTGCAGTTTGAAAACTTTCCTGTTACAGCCAGAGTTCTCTACCCATGTAACACGGTGCTAAAAATCTATCAGTTAAGTTTCAAATTCAAATTTCTTTGTTATTTTAACCAGTATATAAAACAAAGGAAAATTTTGATTTTTAGCAAGCCTGAGCTTTTTTTTTTTTAGCCCCTGTGACATGAGCGGAGAAATCTGGCGGTAACTGGAAATTTTCCCTTGTCATCAAGCAGTAAATAGAATTAGAAAGAATCCCAGAACCTTAGAACGTCAGGGAATATGTGAAGATTTTTTTGTTTACAAGCAAATCTACTTCCGAAATATCAGAAGCCGCGTTCAATTGGGACAACCTTCGTATTAGATCTAATTCCGGAGTGTTCTTTCGACGCACCGACAAGCCCTCGAAAAAAGTTCTGGCACGATTTTTACATAATTTTTGGCTGTATGACCCTTGTCGAAAGAAGGAAATAGTCAAGGCAAATCTTGTTTTTATCAAATGAATGCCCCATTAAATAGTCATGTCATAAAATGACCCTTGGACGAATTACATTTTGCTTTCGAATTCATTTTCCTCGCCACTTTAAAAAAAAAAACGAAGGCAGCTTCAATTATAAAACTCATTTATGATTCTTAAGTATCATGTCATGAACTTCACAAAAAAATAACTCTTCTCACAGTCGTGAGTTATGTGCGCAAACATGTCTTTAGGAGGAGGAGGGACATTTCCAGGATTAAAAAAAAAATTGTACTTCAGGTGAAACTTTGCTCAACTGAATCGAAAATTTCCAACAGACTCGTTATTTTGGGGGCCCTGAAATCACGGTATAGTACTGTACCTACTGCAGTTCTGCTCCAAGTCATCAAATTAACTCAAACGGATGAGTGAAAAACAGGGGGATTAATGATGATGGAATATTGTACTGTACTCACCGCTCCGCCGGAGTTCATAGGGCCAGCCATGTTCATATTCATGTTCATGTTCATATTCATGTTCATGTTGGGCCCCGACATCATGGGCCCAGACATCATGTGCGGATGCGAGTGCGGAGCATTTCCGGCGCCACCAGGCATCATCATGTTATTGTTGGGCATCATGCCGCCCTGAGGCCCGCCGCCCTGGACCGGTGGCCCGATCTGCGGGCCCATCATGGAGTTCATCATGTGCGGGGGCCGCACGGGGCCACCCCCTGGCCCACCTCCGGGCCCTCCTCCGCCGCCGCCGCCAAACCCGCCTTGTCCGTACTGCCCGCCGCCTTGCATCTGCATGCCGCCTCCTTGCACACCCTGCATCTGCAACCACAACGCAAAGGAAAAACAAAACACGTTTTTAAAATACCACACACTCGAGTATTTTTTTTTTATCCGGCCATTGACGTTTTCAAATCATGTCGGTTTCCTCTTCTCCGCACGAACAACATCCTTCATTTTAAATCTTTGTCCAGTCTGAAATCCGCGGTTTTAGCAATTATTTCTTCAGTTTCCAGAGCAGGACAGAAATACCGTCTACTCTAGTTAGTTTAATAGTTGGCTACCCAAAGCGATCCGAAAAATTTCACGAATAGCACTTCTCGAAAATTTCACATCATTTTTCTTTGCTTCCATAAAGCTAGTGATTATGATTTCACTTAAAAACTACGCAGATACTATTCAATGGACTGGATCGTGGCATCACACAATTTAGGAATTGATTTTCTTCAATTAATTCCAAGAAAAGAAATGATTTTTCAGAAACAATTCGACCAAAATATTACTACGCCTTATTTTCCTCAATATTTCCGCCTTTTTGCCTTGACTCGAACTCGCTGCTTATCATACAAATAATCAAAGAAAATAAGCCTTCCAAACTTCAGAACAATCAAGTCACGAACTTCTTCTTTGCACAACGAAACGTTTTGGACTGTTAATAAATGGATCTGCACAAATCCCAAGCAAAATTTTCACCTTCCGAGTGCAAAAAAAAAAAAAATAGCGGAAGGAAAACCTAAACCGGAGGCCGATTCGACGCGAAGTCAGTCCAGGAAACTCAAGATTCGGCGACTTTCGTCCGAACTCTTTCCCACGTGATGGAAGCAACGAAGATTAGCGTTCCGGACCGATTTCCCACGACGACGACGACGACGACGAATCCCGGCGTCAATAAAGGTGATTTTCCTACACGTCGGCGCCAACTTCCGATTATGCATCAAAATCATGGCTCATACTGCCAACAGGTATCAATAGGCAAATACGATAAAGCAGAGCATGCATCCCAGAGATCAAGACGTCAACTGCATTTCATCAATGAAAAAAACCCTCATCCTCTCACTGTTTTCAATCAATTTCAAACTCCGATTTTAGTGCCATCGTTTGTCCTGGCACATCATGTGGCACTAAATCGAGGGCACTATATCAGCAAAAAATAATTAAAGGGTTTCTACTATAGGTTAAAAAAAAGGCTTTCGCAGAATTGTTCAGCCACTGAGCCTTTTTTTTATTATAAAAAATCAAACGTAATAATTCGAGACAAATGAACTGCTTTTACTGCATTCAAACTTATGTTCTGCCCAAATTCATTAGATTTTTGCACAACTTGGGTCAAGTGAAAGAGTGGAACTGCTTCTTGAACTTTCGTATCAACCTTTCAGAGAAAGCAAACAATTACAAGGTGTGGTGCAGTGATTTTTAATTTTTTTATATAGAGACTATCCCAGTTATTGAGATGCTCTTTCCTAGGGAGAACATCCGAATGAAACTATCCAATTACATGTTTATTCAGAAATATAATTGTTTCAAATTATTCTGAGCATTGCATGTGATTCTCAGCAATCACCTAATGATATCCATAAAAATACAGTATGCCTTAATTTCTCTGATTTTGGCCTATTTTTCATTCAGGGCAGAAATTTTTTTTTGACACTTCAGTGAGGTGGCACTAAACCGGGGTTTTCTTCAAGAAAGCAAAAGAGGGATATGGGTTCCAGCAAAATGTGTGGCACTAAATCGAGGGTTGACTGTGTTTAGTCGCCAAGTGTCGGGACACGTCGTTTTGAAATACAGTACGCTCAAATGTCCAGCCACGCGCTGCCTCGATTCCATCATCGCCGGAGATGAAAAGGTGAATCCGCATCGATTTCTCAGGGCACGTGGGTGACCTTTTCTACCCAGCCCTGAGCACCTTACTCGCAAATGGTACATTTATTTTTCGCCGGGTTCATAGAAAGCCTTTGGATCAAGGAAAAGGGAAAAATACTGCTTTCAGGATGACGCCAGCAACAGACAGTAGAAAGAAAACGCCGAACGGCAAAGTAGACAACAATCGATTTCTTCTAGTTAACATGGAGCTGCGGGAGAAAGGCACGGGTTCATAATGATGATAACACTTCTACACAGGAAATGGAATTTTTTTCAAGTCGGAACGGGTTCCGGCAGATGTTCATCGAAAAGTTTTTTCTGTGCTGCAGGCGGAAATTTGAGAAAGAACACGTTGAGGCAGCCAGAAGCCCGACCAAGTGTAGCTTTTGAATCACGACCTCGAGAAGCAAAGTATTGTAACTCAAAAGAGAAGAAAACTGAAATTGAAGATGATGCAAGTGATGTGCGCATGTGTAAAGGTGAACTAATGTACAATGAGTCGGGACTCGCAGTAACTCTGGAAAAAAAATACCATATTCCCTGAAAACTTTAAATAAGTCGTAAATGGACTTTTTCAAAAGAATTGAAAAACACCCAGTAAATTCTGATTATAAAATCGAGACAGCAAAAAACAAGTACCAATGATAAGGAAGTGTAGTTTAACTTGTAAGTCTTTTATTCTGCAGGAGTACAGCAGTCCATGTTTAAATTTCTCCGAAGCGGACTTGAATCAACCAGCACCAAAACCCTTCAATCTTCGCTGACGAGGGAATTTTTTTGTGATGAATTTCTTCAGGACATGCCTTCAAAATTTTGATATGATTTACTCGAATGAAAGGTCATACTTTTTTCGAAAAACACTGTAGCACAGAGGCTATTCCTGAGAAATTGAACAACAAATTCGCATCAAATTCCCAAAAATAACATTTAAAAAGTGAGACCCCGAGATGCGGACGTGATTGGTGCATCAAGAGTGTCCCTAAGTCAAAATTTCCCTAAGTCGAGTTTCATTTTCCCTTAGACTTACATTATATAGATTTTAATCGGTGTTTTATGTACAAAATACTCACCATAATTCTATGAAAATAAAAATTTTCTCCCGATACTGATTCCAATCAATGTACTGTATTTCAACACAATATGAACATTTGGGGAATTAAATTCTGATACCTCTGTAGAGAACACAGAAATATTGGCATTCTCTGTAAAAAAAAAAATAAAAATAACGCTCAAGTGAAAAAGAGAGAAGGAAGTGCCTCTCTGATGGAGGTAATTTTTTAAAATTAGCTAAATGGATGGTAAATTGGTGAGAGAATGCCCAAAAACTTCTCTTACATCAATTTTAGGGTTGGAAATATTATGAGAGAAATGCCCAAAAACTTCTCTTACATCAATTTTAGGGTTGGAAATATGTGTTTCTTGTAATTTGGCCTGAAATGTATTTGCAATTTTATCACAAAATGACCCTATGTCGAGTCAGTGTCCTCATGTCGGGCCTTTTTTTATTAATTTTATTAGAAAATAAGTGTCCCTATGTCGAATTGTCCGCATGTGGGGGTCTCACTGTAATGTCAATGGGTTATGCAAAGGATATACGATTTTCAGAAAGTTAAGTTGCATTTCATGCAGAAATGCTGCAGAATAGGGGTTCCTTTTGGTGTCCTCATAACAAAAAGGGTTGAGCAACTCTGTCGCCAAGTTGAGCGATGAAACGGGAGGGGCTGCGAATGAAGAGGGGTTAGCGAGGCAGGTAAAGTAGGAGATCTCCAGAAGCCAGCTCGAATGTGGTGGGCGAGGAGGAGGCCCAGGGATCCTCGGGGATCGCCAGGCGGGGAGGCAAAGAAGCCCGATGAGGGAGAAGGGAAATGGAAAAGAATCTGGCTCCTTTCCCAGCCCGCATGCTCAGTTCGGGTGCTCTTGTAGCGCCTTGTCGACGACAGGGCCCGACGCGGAAACATATTTTCGCACAGGTTCTCCCGCAGTCGATCGCAAGGGCTCGTGATTTCCCGGGCCTGACCCAAGGATTGACACACATTTCCCGCCCTCGTCAAGGTTTTCCCGGCTTTCCCCAACTCATCGCTCCACTTTCACGCGAACAAATATCCATGATCCGCTTTCCAAAAATACCCCATAACCCGGCCAAAAACGAAATCAAATTCTCCCCGATTTTGACTGAAATTGAGCTTTCCAAACATTGGGACACGACATTTTCTGGGTACAAAGGCATGCATTTCCCGGAGTGGAAAATAAGTTTAATTAAGATGTGAAACATGACTAAAATAATTCCGGAAGTTGAAAAATAATGCGTAAAATTTATTGCGCACGAAAATGTAAAAACCTATTTAGTAAAGGTTTCATGAAAATCTTGAAAGCGAAAAACATTTTTAAAATTACGGGGTCAATTGAATTCTCCTTCGTAAAATCGACCCTTAGAAATATATTTAAAAATCCCAACTCATTTGGCAGAATTTTACAACACATCATTAGCCTTCTGAATTTCGCTTAAATCCTGATCGACAACGATCTTCAACAGAAAAAGGGGAGCTATGAGTAATTAACCAATCAAGTTTTGAACATATTTGGACATTGTAAATCACGCCATGAGCAAAGATTTCGCGTGAATTCATTCCTATTTTCAAAAAAAAAATATATGGTTCGTAGATTTGAGGAAATCCTCCATAGGCAAATGTTTACCAATGAATGTTCAAAAGGCATAAATAATGCTAGAGGATAATTGGCCAAAAAAATACTTCTACCAGAAAACGCTTCCAATGTCATTCCCAAGTCCGCCGAGGCTTTACAGAAACTTCCCGAATCGTGAGGGGAAAAGTTTGAAGGACCAAGCAAAGTTACAATACATTACACGCAGGGGTCAGGAAGAAGTGATCCATAAATACGAGGAAATCGGATTGATCCAATGGCTTCATTCTTCGTATATTTCCGCAGTTGTCGAGCCGACCCTCAGGAATCATCGCAGCAAAAAGAGGATCGACTCCAAGAGACGCACGAACAAAGAGATTCACAGAAAGCACGGTTCACGAGACTCAGTCGACAGCTCGATAATCCCTCGCTGCTGCTGCCATCCCACACAGCCGACTGATGACCGATTCCTTTTTTTTTATATTTCCAACTTTTTTTTCTGTCATAAAACACGTCATTTTCTATTTCGCTCGGCTGATGAAGAATCGTCAGCGAGGGCAACGAGGCATCGTCGGATCCGAGCAGATACCCGGAAAATTCCGCATATTTCCCCTCCCTTTCGGAGTTCATCTCACGCGCAAGTGAGCCGTCAGTGCGCCACGGGTCGACACACAACACAAGTCCTCAACAACGAAAGGCACGTCCACGAGGAATAATATGCATAAAATTCACACTCGGAAATAATGTTCAAACGAAGTTAATTCATCTTATCAAATCCTGAATCAAAATTACAGCGGGCCCCGACATACTTTCCGTCAATTCGACATAGGGACGCTTGATAACTCCAAAATATGTCCCGGCATCTGGAAAATGTTGATATATCTTAAGAGAAATCGAGCTTTTTACGTTCAGAAAATTTAAAAAACACATTTCATTTTAAATTCACTAGAATTCATGATCCAAAACAAGCTAATTTTGTTTTTCTTTTTCCAGTGTTGTTTCAACAGAGTATAGGAATACTTGTGCTTGTTCATGGTTTCTCGGGCTTCTTTTCACGTCAAAAAACTGAGATTAAGTGGCTTTCTTTTTTTCTGTTATTTCCTGCTAATTTAAGTTGAGAAAAAAAATCATTCACTTTTTTGGGAGACTTCTTAATTTTTGACCACCAGGAGAGCCAATTGAATATATTCCTATCTAAGTTTAAGGGAAAACGTGATCGGACTCATAGACGTTCCAACATATGGACAAGGTCTTAAGCACCAATTACGTCCGCATCTCGGTGCCCCACTGTATTTTTCATTGAAGAATAAAGAAGACGGGTCTGGATCTTCGTGGCAACCCTTAATCTAAGCACTGGGTCCGTTGAACGCGCATAAAATATATCTTGAACACCGTGAGTTGAATCGTTCATAGCGAAGCCAGAGAACGATTAAAATGAGAAAAACTGAGTTTATTCTCAATGTTTATCATGTCAGCAACATTTCAAGACCACTGACCTAAACGAAATGTTTCACGGTCTCACATTAAAATATTGTTTAGGAAACAGCTCTCTTGGGACTTCATATTTCTGAAACCCGTTCTGCGCAGGCGCTGTTATTCACCTTAGGTGTTTTCAACGCGCGGATTTCGAGCATCGCAAATACACTAATTTTGCACATGCTCATGTAATTATTCAAAAAATAATAATCGACGTGATGGAGCCATAAAGAGGAAAACCAACCTGTGAGTATTGATGGGAATTGTGGTCGGGTTGGGGATTGTGGCCTTGTTGCTGACGCTCCTGGGCCATGACAACAGAGGCGGTGGCTGTGGCGGTAGCAGTGGCGGCGGCCACCATGGCTGCTGCCGACAGCGCTGCGTTCCCCGCGTTGCCGCCACCAGAGCCGCCATTGCTCCCGTTCTGCACGTCACCACCTGATCCGCCGCCTCCACCGCCTCCTCCTGGACCCATTCCCATCCCTGGACCAGCACCGTACCTGTTGAAATAATTTTCGAAGTCATTAAAACATCGGAAAATCTGGTAAGCAAGGATACAAAAAATTAATTTCATCGTTTTCTAGTATACACCGAAATGAAATGCGTAGAGAAAATGTGGCCTGATCAAAGATGAAAAAACCTGAACACTGCACTTGACCTTCGTAAACAGCTAGATAGTTGTCATTTAAACGAAACCGCATTTTATTTCTTAGCATTTTAAAACCAACGGGTTTTTCCATTATTCAATTCCAAATGAGAACAAATATCATACGAGACATAATGTAGACATCATTCTTCGGCTCAGTTTTTTTTTTTTCTTTCTGACGACCAATAATCAATTGAAAACGGGATTCAAACGAAACAATTACGGCATTTAAAAAAAAAGTTGAAATGCACAGAAAAAAATCGCCTAGAAATCGCCACAGTCTGTGATTGCCACAATAAATTCAAGCATTATTCAGTGACACAACGGGAGTCAATATCCAAGCATCAGCTTCACGAGGAAAGCACTAAAAATCCGTTCATCCACCCCAACCTATCGATTTGTTTCCCCCTTTCCTTCAGAAAAACACTTTGGTCTTCGGATGACCAGTCGGCAACAATTTTCCTTAGCGAACTGGGCATCTAAGGGGCATAAAAAAAATGGCACACCACACTAAACAGCGACGACCGCCTCACAACAATTTTTGCCCCCTTCGCTTTCGCAGGTAGCTGGTGAGCGCCTCGGAAAAGTTGGCAGGATGACTGCGACAACGAGAACCCTCGGGACCCCGCAATTTTCTCGCATCAACAACACCCGAATTGCAGGGGTTCGACGAAAACTTCAGGGGGTTTTTTCAATCCTTCCTGTCAAAATTGAATAGTGTGATGAACGAAACATTCACGACAAGGTCGTTTTACAAGAAAGCAGAATGCCCGCCAATTTCAAAAAGCAGTTTAATTTTTAAAATCCTCCACTTACTAAATATGTCGTTGACAACTCCAAGACATTACCTCTTGCCACACTATAGACAGCGTTACACTGTTTATTTTTCTGGGTGAGCTAAAAAGTTGTATACGATCTCCCGAGTAAGCATCAAAAATATTGTTGATATAGACCAACTTTTTTCATGTTAAATCGACTTCACACGTATTAATTCTGTATTCAGAAGACTTCGGAAGAGAATTTTTAGCGTGCCAATATTTGCTAGAATGTTTATCACATTTGCACTTCGGATTATCCATCATCTGTGTAATGTCCGAATCACGCTGTGAACTCTGCGCAAAAGAAAAAACATGTAGTCAATGAGGCATCAATGACTTCCAATATTTAGAGTATCCCATTAACTAGATGCTTGCCGGCAAATATTAGGAGCCCTCAATGCTAACAGGCATCCTAATTTTTCTCGAATAGCTTCAAAAATATATGCAGTACCACTAAATATTGTGAACTTGACGACCAAGATCCTCTTAATTATATTTGAATAGCCGGGAACTAAAGGCTCAGGAGCATTCCTGAGTTACGCTCAGTAAACAGCCAAGTACTCTTATAATGAAGACCATGAAGAATGTTTTTGGTCAAAGGAATTCAAGTACGATCTTACCAACCCAAACTTGGAATAAAAATCATCGGCTATCATCGTTCGGTAGCATCAGAGACCACAAATCTGTTGCGATAGACAAAAAATTGCTTTGAATCGACACACACAAAAAACCGTTGAATGAATCATACTGGCACCAGCAAATGATATTCGATATGCGTTATTTGGAAGAAGAAGAAAAAATTCGGAGGCTTTTGAGGAATTTTCAGAAGCTCCATGGTGCTCAGGTTGTGAAGAAAACAACCTGCTTAGACCGACAATGAAATGGTGTAACCGCCGTTTGGGTTCCTTCCTGCCCCCCGGGGAGGGTCCTCTTTTTTATTTTTTATCTGCACTTGTCATCACAGTTGCAATGATCGAACATCAACCCCGAGGTTTCCTAGTCAAGTCCCAAGCTGTTGAACTTTTGTAAAAGGAGAAGTTTAATTGGGCGGGGAGAAATTTTTTTTTTTAAGTTTGACTTCGAGTTGAGACAACCATGTCGTTGCGTTACGTCGTAGGCGACAACTGAAAAACTGCGAACAATTTACAAACATCAGATGAAAATGACAAAAAAAACGAAATGTCTTTGTTATAAGAAACAAATCGTCAACTAAAATAACGTTTCAACTATTCGACAGGGACCTTGAACAACGAATTCGTTGCAACGAGATTTCACTATATTCTGATTTCAAGAATTTTAATAGACGTAAAAAAGCTAAGATATATTTCAACAAAAGAAAATTTTCAGCCTTTTTTGATTCTTTCACCTGAAAAATTCAAATCGCTTTGCTTCTGGTAAATTATTTTCTCAAGTCACAGTCTATTCGTGAAACTACTTTTCCACTCATTGATTTCAAGAAAAAATTACTGATGAGTCTTCAGGAACTGAAATGAATTTCTCACGCAAAAACCTTTCAACGTTCTCTGATCAATCCTACGCCTGGGTTCACATGAATTCGCCAGAGAACTTCCGTTCCTCGGTCATGGCGTCAATCCCACGTAGTAATTTGGCAGAATAAACATCGCAAATGGAAAATCCGCCTTTTCGTTTCAATGGCCGGATTCAATGAACCCGACGCATTCGCGACGATATCCAAGCAAATAACCCAAAGTTCCGTAATTCTTGAGGTCAATCAGAACGTGTACAAAGCGTAAACACGTGACTAATCATAATCCGCCATGTGATCAACAGCATACACCCGAATGAGCAAAATGCGGCGTATAGAAAACTAAATTGATTCAAATCAGGCGTACGTTTGCTTCGTTGCAAGGTTTATAACCCTCAGCCTTCGCCGTCATTAATTGAGCATTCGCGCGCTCAAGTATTTTCGAAGCAAGTACTAATCATGTAGAATTTAGTTCAAGGCAGGTGTCCGTCAATTAAATACTAATGCTCGAGATCATCAAGATTACCGGAATAAAGCCCAGAGCTTTATCAAGATCAGAATGAAACAAAGCAGTCTAAGTTGTTCATTTTTTTCATGGTGCTCAACAGCGTTCCGACAAGCAAGTGTTGTAAAGAAATAAACGGGACCAGATGAGACGATCCCCCGGAGGCAAATCGAGGTGCAGGGGAAAAAAAACGCAACCCACACAAAAGGTGCAGGAAGGGAACCAGAGGAAAATAATAACAGACGATGTGCACCTTCAAGGTAGCAAGACTTCACTCAAGGTGAACCAAGCTAATCGAGCAGGCTGCCAGATGCTGTTCCGGCTCCGCGAATTCCAGCGGATTGAGATCAAAGATGTAGCCACCGCCCGAGGCGATAAGTTTTTTTTTTTTATCATTAATTCATTAGCATCGAGCGGAAGATGTTCCCCGCAGAGTGTTTCGAAAACACAAACGACAGCCGTGTCGCGTTCAAGCCCAGACATCTGCCAAGGTCGGAAATGTCTCTGACCCACAGGTGAGAAAAAAAAATGGCATGCCTCCCGAAATGTACAAAAAAACAGCATTGCATGCAAAGCATTTTATGCAGGGTGTTCATGGGAAATGTGCAATCCTTGCGTAAAATGAGTTCGTCCTTCGTTCACTTCAACG